CCCCCCCCCCCCCCCTTTTTTTTTTCGTTCAGTGTTTTTTTTTTCTTTATCTTTTGGGGTTTCTTTTGTTCTCTTGGGGGGTTTATATATGCACCCCCACTACTACTGTATGCTACTTATCCTTCCTTTGTATAACAGTTGTGCTGATGATCATAATGGAATAAGTTTCTCCTCCTTTTCCTGTTTTTCATTTCTTTTTGTTTAGTTTTCAAGAAGAAGTTCTGTCGGTTGACTCACGCAGGCGGACATGCAGCTGAGCTGGGGAGTATTCTTGGGTGCTCTCACCAGCGGGGGGTGCATTTTCACGGTCAAACATAAGGCACAACAATGCTGAAAGTGCGGGACAAGCGATGATCGGAGACGTAGCCTCCAGCTTGTTCAATGCGAGCTTACTGAGGTCCTCGGTGAACAAGTCATGAATAAGATACATAGAGGCATTTTTCATTGGCAAGATACGGGACCGGGTTCCATTCATGCATGTCCCCTGCAAGCTTCCCTCCTCAGCCCCGCCCTTCTGCTATCCACACCTGCCTCCAAAAAAACTCCTCCCCACACTCATCTCGTGCTTGCTCATATGAATTGGTACGTACATGTTAGGTCTACTGCCCCTTAACCCCGCCAACCAAGAAAAAAACGAAAGCAGAATCGAGACATACCCGGAAGAGATTGACCCCCCCCCCCTTACGCTTTCACCAGCTCTCTTGCCTCCCGAGGTGTCAAGAGATTTCATAAAACCCGTCGGATCCTCCAAAAACAGAGCGGGTCTGGCAAAAACAGAAAGGGGGCCGGGCAAAAGAACGGGGGTCTGGCCGGGAATTGAACCCGGGACCTCACCCAAGTCGCTCGTGCCGATGAGGCAAGTGCCTACCTGATCATCGACGGCCCTAAGGGTGAATCATACTACTAGACCACCAAACCTCTGTGACCCACGAAGGTCACATCAGGGATTAGTACATGATTTCTTTTGAGAGAACAGAGCATAGCTTGCACTCAGAGAAGAAAGCCTGGGGGAGAGACTCTTCTCTGATTTGGACCAGTCTTGATAAAAATATGTGATACAGCTGTGCTAGTCATCTGTCAATACTAAAGCACGGGCAAATGTTTCTCTTGATCAGGTGTGGGGATAATGTAAAATTTTACGTCAGGCCAGAAAACCAAGAAAGAAAATCACATTTTTGGAACCCCTAACTTGTGCTAATAGGTTCCAAATCTATCTTGGGCTCAAGAAACATTTGGCCAAAAAAACATGACATTTGGTTTAGTGTCAGCATCATTGAGATCTGTCCAGTAGTCTCAAAAAAGATGTCTTACTCAAGGGTTAAGCCCTTTCATATCATTTCTATGTAATTTTTGGGGGGGCTAAAAGCATTCCATTCATGTATTTATTGATATGTTCCTTCAAGGAGAGGGAGTATTCAGTTGTACCAGATCAAATGATGATGTATTTGGATGACTGAAAAAAAATTCAATGAATTCAAGCACCGAGAATATCAGAAAAAATAAGAAAATTAGCATTGAGGCCAGAAGGGAATGATGTGATATGTGAAGTAGAAAAATTGAGTAAGGGAGTGACCTTTACAGACATCAAGCATATGGTCTCTCCATCATGCACCCCTTGGGGTTCTCTAATATTCCACCAAATCTGTGCTCCACAGTTGGGACCTCCCCAAATGGGCACCTGATGAATGACAACCACACCTGCATGCCCACAGGAGTTATGGGATTGGTGATGCTTATATCATCATGCCTGAGGTCTGTGGACCAGCTGTGTTGATCTGGCTCACACACCTTTGGGAAACCAGGATTGGAAAAGTGGTTTGAACAGGTGTTTTGTAGAGAGTGGCCCATGCATTACACATGTTGAGCACTTTCATATTCTCATAAGCCTGGACTGACATCATAATCTGCTATCACAATCTGAACCACATCATGAAATGCTCATAGTAATATCAGATTATATGGAAGATGGATCATTTGTGATGGGTGGGGAGGTGTTCACCACACTAGAAATATCACCATGTCTCAAATTTCTTGGGTGGATGCTGATATAGGTTAATAAATACAATATGCACTTGAATATGTCACAAGCTTTTTGCATGCAATACCAAAATCTTATGTAGTTATACTGCAATAGCACAAACAAAGCAGTGCCACTGCAAAAAAAACCTTGCTCAACTGCCTGCAGTTGACATGCAGAAAGTCCAACAAAGCTTCTGGTGTTACTCCCACCTTTCTCCAAGAGTGATTCAGCCAAAATTTGATGCACAGTCACTGTGCAGACTGCACAGTGACTGTGCCTAAACATCTACATCTGCAAACAGGTGGAGTTTGGATGGCAGCTGGGCTGGAGTATGCTGCATGTCAACTGCCGGCAGTTGAGCCAGTTTTTTTTTGCAGTGTGCTCTGTCAAACTGTGATGGTATATGTAGTGCTCATGGCAAAATGAGGAAAAATGACTCACTTCAGAACTGCTTTAATCACCACAAAAATCAGTTTCCCAATATGCTTGGTGAGATGACTTCTTGGATCAATATCATGACACAATGTTTTTGATGTGGGCTGTGTGACTTGCAGCTCATGAGCACAGGTTGTTTCGCCCAAATTTCATGAGTGCATTGAGTTGATGTTTGAAGGCATGAGTTATGGCAGGCCGAAGAGTGTGGATCATCACAGTTGCTGGGGATGGGTCAACAACACTTTATAACCCCAATGGAAGCTTTTCTGAACCTCAGCACCTGGCTTAACCCGAGATCTGCATTTCTCGGGTCAGCTATTGCCTGAAGTACTATTTTCTTGAATGAAATTCCAAACTGTATGAACAGGACGGAATGCGAAAAGCTGATGCTCTCCATACTCGATGACTGCTGCGCCCCGCAGCCCCCCTCCCATGGACTGAATTGAATTTCTTCTTCAACCACAACGACGACGACAACGACAACTACAACGACAACATGGAAGTACAATGCGGACAGTTCGACGATGCTCCAGAAGACATACTCACAACCACTGAACAGCCACACCATCCTTGCAAAATTATCACGCAATCAACCACTAATTCGCTTGTTTACCACCTTCAAGAGGAACCATCCGAGGACGAATCTGACTTTTCGAAGGATGATGAGGATCCAGAGGACGACTTCTTCGAGCAGGACTTGGACGTTGTCAATGGACAGGATTGGGAGACACTGGCTGGGGGTAAATATCGAATTTCACTCCCCAAGTCCTCGCGTTTCCTCACCCGTATTCTAACTATCTGCTTCTATCCTTCATCGGCAAAAAAAAAAAAAAAAATCCAGATCTAACAAAGAGGTATAACCGGCTCCGGCAAACTGTCACGGTTGCCACCCAACACCGCGGTGCCCAGCCGTCCACAACGACATCAACAGCATTACCGGCAACAAATCAGAAGAGATCTATCACCACCCTTGATCCTTCCACCGTCACTCCAAGCTCCACCGTAATCCGGAAGGACAAGGTAAATGACCAGTTGGTATCGCTGTCCTCGAAATTTGCCGACAAGTTGAGTCTTGGAGACGTGAATACCACCTCAACACGTAAGGGTGGATTCGAGAGACTCAATCACACAGACAGGGCTGACCGGGCCACCAACGAGCAAGTTTTGGACCCACGCACCCGTCTCGTACTGTTCAAGATGCTTGGGCGCGGTTTGGTAGACAGAATCGAAGGCTGCATATCGACCGGGAAAGAAGCCAACGTCTACCATGCCATCGCCCTGGTCGACCCTTTCACAGGGACGCCCTCAGCGAGCGGGGTCAGTCTGGCGATGAAAATTTACAAGACCAGTATTTTGGTTTTCAAAGACCGAGACCGATACGTGACGGGGGAGTTCAGATTCAGGTCGGGATATGCAAAACGCAATCCGCGAAAGATGGTCAAACTATGGGCGGAGAAGGAGATGCGCAACCTGAAACGTCTGGATGAGAAAAAGATTCGTTGTCCTCGAGTAGTGGAAGTCCGATCCAATGTTCTAGTCATGGAGTTTTTAGCTCTGGAAGATGATGGCGGATGGAAGCCAAGTCCGCGACTCAAGGATGCTGCCCTCCCCGGCTTGGGAGAAGGATTAGAACAGCTATATTGGGAATTGTTGGCCATGGTGAGAATTATGTACCATCAATGTAAACTAGTCCATGCCGATTTGAGCGAATATAATATTCTGTACGTCCGCTCTTCTCCCTTCCCCTCTACCCGCAAGGCCATTCTTCACCTGAATTATTGCGAATTTACTTTGACGTAATTTATTTCTTCTGTAAGGTACCATTGTGATCACCTTTACATTATTGATGTCTCCCAATCAGTCGAACATGATCACCCGTCTGCTTACGATTTCCTCCGATCCGATCTCACCAATGTCGATCTATTTTTCGCCCGGTTAGGAGTGCCGACCTTGGGTCTCAAGCGCACCTTTGATTTTGTCACCGACAAGTCCATCTCTGTACAAACGGAGGAGGAGTTGATTGAACTAGTTCAACGGCTGGTCTCAGTTCCCGAGCCACGGAGTGTTCATCCAATGAAAGATGGCTGTGAATCCGCCGTTGGTATCGATCACGCCACCGAGGTCACCCAAATTCCAGTAAATAATGATGAACAACCTGAAGAAAACGACAACGACGAGGCCGTCTTCCGGCACGCCTACATCCCCCGCACGCTCAATGAGGTATACGATGCGGAACGTGATGTGGAAAAGCTGAGGAAGGGGGAAGGGAAGCAGCTCATTTATGCGAGTCTCACCGGGCTTGCCCCCTCACCTCAGCAAAAGCTCCAATTGTCGGAAATTAAACCAACACAGGAAAATGACCATGAGGAAGATGAGGATGATGTCGATGAAGAGGCCGACGCCGATCAGACCGATGAAGACTCACATGCCGACGATGACGGCTCTTTGTTCCACTCGACACCGCGCGGACATCGGTTCGAGCCTAAAGACGAAAAGAAACAACGCAAGCAATTGGTCAAGGAACAGCAACGCGATAGACGCAAACAGAAACTCCCTAAAAGTACCAAAAAACGCTTAGTTGCCAAATCCTCCGGTAAAAGATAATAGCCTCATATCCTGGCACGGGGGGTCTCGCCCTCTCACCCCTCTTTTTATATACCTCGTGTCGAGCTCCCTTTCGCCATAATAAAATAATGTATCCAAAAGCTCTGCACACATTTACATACCAACTTATTTTCTAGTTTGCTTGCATTTCGGCGCCTTTGTGATGCCGTAATGAGCGAAGAATTAAATGGCATGGAGAGGCCGCACTGCGACGGATATATCTAAGCCGCACCCGATCTACGCATGAGCCCAAAAAAAAACATTGATGGACCGTCGGCTTCTTACCCTTACACGCATACACCCTGGCCTGGGCATGTGACATGAGAAAGCAGAGCTTGTACCAGCCAAATGCAATCCATCTCTCAATTTCATTCCATCTCTTTTTTCTTTTTTTTTTGCGTCCCAATCTTAGCAGGAAGAGATGGCTTGAGATGTGAGACCACATGCATCTTGCGTGCTTAGCATTTCGCCAGCTTTCCGCCCCTCTTATGTCTCCGTCAGAGAGCGCGGGAACGATGAGAGGCAGAAAGAACGCCCCTCCAATGGGCCTGTTCCCACAGAGCCTGCGAAGCTCTTCAAGTCCGCTTCATCTGACAGAGTAGTGGTGCTGGTGTGCAGGGTCTCAAGATACGTAAATATATATGTACAACCTCACTCAAAAACTTTCTTTCACAGCTAAGGGTTTCCCTCTGCAACTGCCGACACCATTGTACATGTTTTGAGCTGATCAAGGGACACACGGTTGTTGAACACAACAAGAATTGTGAAAGACCAAGACCGGGAGCCTCGTGAGTTAGTTGTGAAGCAGCAGCATAGCAGCCAAAAGAAAACTGAGTTTCCAAGAAGGTTTTTACAAAGA